TGCAAGTTCCCAAGTGAAATCAGGGGGCGGGGCGGGGGGCAGGGAAACGAGGCTTATTACCTCCCATGGCCCCGATTTCATAACAGCTCATCACTGCCCGTCAGCAGAAACCCTGCTTGGAAACGCTCGTGAGGGGTGACATCGCCTGCACATCTGGAAGGCGACAGAACGGTCCCTTCCAGACGTCCTGCACTTTTTGTCTTTCATCGGCTCCTGGGTGATGCCCCTTGACCACTGGGCAGACCTGGGGCTGCCCCTCCTGCAGTGTGACTGCGACCTCACTGGACTGGGACCACTCATGTCTGCCACTGTCCCCAGCACTAGCCTCCAAGCTCCTAAGAGCAGGGACCTCAGCTTTTCTCATATGTATTCTCAGCACCTAGCCCGAGGGCCAGCCAGGTACTCCAGAACATCTGGGGAAAGAATGAACAGATTCAGACCAACCAAGAAGCAGTATAGACCGCCGGTTAGGAGCTCGAGCAGCCGATGTGAACCCCAGTGCTGTTACTAACGACACGTGTGAGCCTCAGCTTCCTCGTCAGTAAAACGGGGCTGACAGGAGGGCGTAATCTCAAAGGGTCAGTGTGAGGCTAACATAAGATGGTGACGTACGGGCCTGAGCACTGATCAGATCGGGGTGACAGGGAGGAAGTGGGAGGTGAACATGGACTTGGCTTGTATTCGAGCAGTTGCCAGGGTGGGTGGGTGGGGGGAACTAAGCACCATGAGGACTGGGCTGCATCCGCCGCAACTCCGAGGGTCTGCGAGGAGGCAGCCGCAGAAGTCGAAAGACAGGTCCACCAGATCATAAGGACGGGCTGCATCCGCCGCAACGCCGAGGTCTGCGCGGAGGCAGCCGCAGAAGTCGAAAGCACAGGTCCACCAGGAAAGCTCAGATGGGAAGCCGTGCCTATTTGTCTCGCCCTCCAGCGGTCGCCTTGCCGTCAGGAACTGAGGCGTTCGCTCCATGACTGAATCCCTTTTGCTTCCTGTACGTAAGCCTCCATGCACCGCACCCCCCAACACACATACACACTCTCCCCTGGCAGCGCTGCCCACCAGATACCGCCCACGCATCTCAGCCAAGACCAATTCACGTTCCTCAGATACTCCTGCTGCAAGTTGTTTTTTTCCCCCACAGAATGTGTGGCTGAAATCACTTTTAACGTTTCACAAAGCAAACAGTCCCAGGAAGACTGGCTAGGGGGTAAGGGGAGAAAAATCAAATACATTGCAGAATGGCTTTGAAATAGAAAGGATTTTTATATTTCAGGGTTCCCTGTAATCTTCACACCAGGCATTGTCTTTATAATTTGGAAGTTAAGCGCATGAAAGGATGGCTTCTCCACGGCCCTGCTCCAGGGCAGACCACCAGCTGCACCTCACAGCGGCAGCCCACAGAGCCACCAAATCAGATGCAAATACGTAGCTCTAAAGGTAACTGCGGTGCACACAGCTCCCCGGCCATCCCAGCACCCGTTCCCCATTCCCTTCCGCCCACCGACTTGACTATAGAAGCCAAAAAGCCAGAACCTGCTTTCCTAGTCTCCTTTGAAGCTGGGGGCAGCCGCATGATAAAACTGGGGCTAAGAAAACATCAGTGGAATTTTGCTAGGGGTTTCTGAGAAAGTTCCTGCTTTCCAGGTAAAAGAAATAGTCATTCACCATGCCCCTTCCGTTTCTTTCGGTTTTGAATGGAAATGTGATGTCTGGAGCTGCAGCAGCCATACTGCAACTATGAGGCAGGAAGGAAAGGCCAAGAGAACCACCAAGATGCCAACTCAGAGCCCTACCTCAGTTCAGTCCCAGAAGTGGGACTTATGTGGGAAAAGTTACCTCCCATTTGCTTAAGCCACCATAATTAGGGTTTTCAGTTACTTGAAGCGGAAAGCATACTGATTTACTATGTCATCTTTATCAATATAGCGGTACCTCTTCACTAATTCAAACTATTTCTATCATACCAGGTTTTAAAGTAGATGTCCTATCTCATTTAATCTTCTTTAAAGATTCAGTCCCATTTACCCAAGCACCTATTGTTTGTACATCTCTAATCAAATGTCTGATGGCCGCTGCAAACGTAAAAGGGTCAGGACTATGTCTCCTCCAGGACTCCCTATCCCTGTAAGCGGCGTCATCATCCACTTGATGTCTAAGCCAGTGTCATTCTCGAGGACACCGCCGCCTATACACGCTCACCCAATAGATCACTAAGTTCTATGGATTTCACTTCCTGAATATTTTTCTGACCTACCTATTTCTCTCCATTACTCTCACCTAAGTCTAAATTATGCATGCCCGAACCACTGCAATAGACTCCTACCTGGTCTCTTTGTATCCACACCTGCCCTTTCCACAGTGAGCTTATAAAAATACATATCTGGCCATGTCGTTCCCTTCCTTAGAATCATTTAATGGCTTGCCATGGCCCCCATGATAAAGTCCAAATTCCTTAAGACCTAAAAGGCTTTGCCCAGTCTGGCTCCTAACCACTGCTCCAGCTTCTCTAGCCCTATCTTGAGTTTCTCCTTTTGGCTTCTTCAGTTTCAACTATGCTATCATTATTTTAGCTTCTCAAACTTGTCAAACATTTCTGTTTGAGGGCCACCACATGATTGTTCCTCATATAGGGGGCTCCGCGATCTCCCAACCCCCGCCCTGGCCTACTTAACGTTACACATCCCTTTGCATTTCAAACAGTGAATTGTCCATTTCAGATATTATGCTTTTCTGTTTTAGATCTCCAGCTGTTTTAAAAAAAGTTTCCATTTCTCGTCTGAGATTCCCCATCTATTCATTCATTATGATCATCTTTTCCTTTAAGTACCAGACCATTTATATAATAGATGCCTCTGGCATTATCTCCTAATTCCTATACCGGCATCATCTCAGGATCTATTTCCGTTGGGCTGCCTTTCTTTTCCTTTTTTTTTTTTTTTTCATCTTGATTATGGGTCACAATTTCTTGATTCTCTGCAAGTCTAGTAACTTTTTTATTATACGTTAAACGTCACAGATGTTTTGTTCTGAAAGTTCCTTTTGAAGCTGTCAGGCTTACTTTTATTTATCAAGGTGAGATTTTTGATTTTGTCCTCAATCTTAGGGGGTCATCCATATGTGTAATATACGGCCTTTTGGGGGTCTCGACTGCATACTTTTGGTTGGGCCATAACCCCAAGGTCCCTGAGCAATGGTAACCCTGTTCCTCGCTCAGCCCCATAGCAGTCATTTCCTGTTAGACCTTACGGAGTCTTGCTTTGTGCGCGTGCAGCCCTCAGCCAAGGACCTGCAGCGAACACAGATTTCTGCCCACGCCTACCACTCCCGCAGCATTCCCTCTCCTGATTTTCAGGGCAAACCAAGTGCTGACCTCCAAAGACAGCTTTTTCAATACATCTGCACAGGAGTTCAGCAAGAACCAGGTGAGTCACCATGGTAACTAACCATTTCTGCTGAACAGCTGAAAATTCACAGCTGACAATGTCAAGGATAATGCCCCTCAGTTAGGCGATTACATTTCCGACTTGAGGCAGAGGTCAAAACAAAATAGCTAATCTGGCGGCTTTACAACAATGCCTGTTACAGAGTCATCTGACAGGTCCTTGAGGTGACCTGTCATCCCTTCTGGTAATGGACCCCGATTGTCAGCAGATAGAGGCTCCCCCTGCCTGGAATGTTACAGAGAGCAATGTCCTCAGCTTTGTTCTTCTCATTCAGTCTCTCAATATTACCACGTGCTTAAAAGGAGCAAGGCACTAATGTTCACAAGTTCTAATGAGTAGTTTTCCAAATGCATACGCTATTCTCTGCTACATTCTGAGTTAATTATAATGGGAAAATAGCCTCATTTAAGACATGTGTTTTGAGTGAGAACATTGGGGGTCATAGATCCATGTGGCGCTGGTACTGTAAGTTCTGTAGTGATCAGAGGTTTTTTATACCTTCGTGCTTTCTTGCATACAGAAGTACAGTGTTGGATCTGACTCGAAGTCCAGTTCATGCAGTACCCTAATTCCGACAGCACAACCCATGGGGTACCATGGAAAGATACAACTATCCTTCTCTTGGTGACTAACACGGGGAAAGAAAAATCATGACATACCGCCAGTGGCCTTCGTGATGCTTTTACCTTTCCAGATCTTGTTTGTGTCCAGCCTCGTGCTATCGGGTACAGACCCTGTCGGAGTGCTGTGGGAAGTGTCCCTGCTTTGCTTTAATCATTTCTCTCTGGCGTTTCAGGGCGTGATGGCTCAATCCTACATCCTGAAACGTGGTAAGCTCAAAGGGCACCTTGCACGGAGTGGTTCCGGCACACCCGGAATGGGCTATTTTGCCCAGGCTACTGGTAATTTTAAGCGGGGCCCCTCTTTCATTAGTTGGCCTTGCCTCGAATCCCTGAACACATAAAGAGCCGGAAGGTACCTTAAAGACCACTTGGTCCCACCCTCTTTTTACCGATGAGGAAACTGAGGCCCAGGGACTCACACCAGTTTACACTATTAACCAGGGACACGAGCACTAAAACCCAGTGCTTCGGTTCCTAACTTAGCTCACTGCCACCCTGGCCTTCCCCGCGGAGACCAGCCGTCTCTTCTCTCCTTCTAGATGGTCTTCTCTGGGCCCTCTAAAACGTCGTTCTACCTTTTCGGAGGTCTTACTGTAACCATACAGGTGAAGATACTTTTTTCCTCTCTAGCTTTTATTGCTAACATAGATAAAACGGAATTTTTTTTTGGCCTCCGTGGCAGTACAATGACTGAGGGTGCCGAAAGGCCAGCAGGGGATGGCCTCCAGGTGCCATTCCCGGTTAATAACTGAAAGACCCAAACCCATCACCCTCTAGGCGAGCGGCTCCGAGGCTCGTGTGCTTCCTGTCTGTACCCCGTGGCTCCAAGAGCCCTTCCTCGAGTTCGCCCCCAACGTGAGGCTCTCCAGCTCCCAGAAGGCCCTGGTGCCAACACGTACGGCATCCTTGGGAAGTCTTCCAGGCTGACACTCACCTTTGCATAAGCGGTTGTCTTAATAAACCATTGTCTGAGGTACTTCTGTTCCACCTTCGCTCCAGAACGCCATGAACAGCCATGTTCATCCACCTGCTCGTTGGCAAGCACTGTTTGATCCACTGGGTCCCAGTTAACCAAGGCCTGTCACGATTCATGAAACAAAATGATGCAAGCTGGTGAGTGTACCGAAGGATCATTTCAAGGTCCCTTACATGTGAGAGGGTCTGCAAATGCAGCACCTCTACTCCGAGACTTGACAGCACCTCCGTGGAGTATTGCTTGGCAAGGAAACCGTTAGTGAGCTGTTAAAAAAAGCCCACGTGAACTGCCTCTGCGCCTGCATCTTATTAGAACAGGTTTGAGAAGAAAGTCTATAAGCACATGTCTAAGTCAAGTTCGGTGTGTTCTTGCATTAAAGGGTGAACTTGGCTCGGAAATGTTAGTAAACAGGAAAAGCAGAATTGGATTACTTTAGAGGAAACAAATATATTTATCTTAATATAAATAGCTAACATTTATTGAGTGATGACCATGTGCTAGGTGCTATGCTAGGGCCTTACTAAAACTGTTTTTTTTATCCTCACAACCTTTTAAGGTAAAAATATGATCTCCATATTGCAAAAGAAGAAATGGAGGAACAGAGAGATTAAATACCTTGCTTGGGGTCACACAGTCAGTGAGTGTGAGACAGGACTGGAACTCAGGTCTCTAAAAACTATAAATACTTTTTTGCAATTTTTAAAAACTTCTGTTTAAATTAAGGTATAACATACACAGAGTAACGTGAATAAATCTTAAGTGCACAACTCAATGAATTTTTACCATCACTCATATCTATATACAGAACATTCCCAGATTCCGGAAAATTCTGTTGTACCTTCTCCCAATCAACATCCACCTCCCCCTCCCCCAAAAGGTAGCATTATTGTGAGATCTGTCGGAATAGTTGTATTTGACTGATAGAACCTGCAGTCTGAACCAATCTAAAGTTTCTCTCCATAGGTTTCTAATTCATTTCTATCTTCATTTAAAATAAATACCTCTGCCATCTACATTCACTCCTTTATGACACTTAGGTACAACTTACTACAAAGAAGGTAACGAGTACAGAGAGATGTGTTTTAGTACTAAGACATCCTGACTTGATACACATTCTTTTAATAAGCAATTCTAACAAGAGACAGTGCTGAATACTGTCCATTTGCCCCTCCACATCCTGTTTGGGAGGGAAGCTGACCTCTGTGCCTTGCCCTCTGGCTGGGCTCAACCACTGAGAGGCACCCTGGCTTCTTCCCAGTTGCGCCACGGCTGGCGTACTGAAGGCCACAGCCCCTGCTGGGCAGGCCTTCCCTGCTGCCACAGCCACCGCTCTCCCCGTTCCAGGAACCGTACCCCAACACTGCCCCCTCAGCCTGGGATGCGCAGACCCTCCTTCTGTTCTCAGCTCCAGGTGTTCGACCATCCCTTGAGTGTTTCCCTAAACTCGGCATGGAAACGGTCTCTTTACTATATGATTCCTTTTGGGTCATACCCTCTATTTCCCGTAGGGGCGGGGACAGGCTAACCCACCTACGGGTTGTGATTTTATAAGTAAAAAGTTGTACATCCTGTCTACGGCCATGCTACCCTGAACAAGCCCAATCCTGTCTGATCTCGGAAGCTAAGCAGCGTCGGGCCTGGTTAGTACTTGGATGGGAGACCACCTAGGAAGACCAGGCGCTGTAGGCGTTAAAAAAAAAAGTAGTACATCCACTGAAAACTTTAAGCCTGGAGTTGGACTGGGCAAGACATGCTCTGAATGATTTCCTGCCCTTGTCCCAGCGCCCTGCCAAAGCCTCGACTCCATAAATATGTAGAGACAAAATATAGGACGAAAGTACCTTAGACCTAAAACCTTTAGGTTAATAAACTCACGATGATTTACTTATCTATTACAACTGCCTGTATTAGAGGCTGGGAGGCGTACCACTTAAAAAGGTAAAAAGAGAGAAACAAGTATTACTTAGTAATGAGGACAGTTCTTTCAAGAGGCAGCCCTCTCCTCAACGCCTCCCCCCCATCGCACGTACAATTAAAAGCGTGTAAAATATAAAAAGGAGGGGGGAAAAGCCATATATGCCTCCGCCTTTGCTTTCTGCCCCTGCAAACATCAGAGGATAGGGGAGAAGCAAGTATTGCATACTGCAGATTATGAAAACAAATAGGACTTTATTTTCTTATCAGCCTGTCCCACACGGCCTGGCATCTCTCAGGCTCTAGGTTACAAAAAGCAATGAAATGAGGAAAATGTGTTCTTAAGAGGTTTACACATTATAATAAAACTCTGGTGTAGAATAAAAGACAAATAAAAGCAAAACACAAAAGTAATTTCCCTCCAGTGAAAGTTTTGGGGGGAAGAGGAAAAACACCCAAGAACGTAGCATTCAGATCAAAGACACATCGGCTGCGAGAACCCACTCGCATTTCTTCCCAGAACCATGATCCGCCTCAACCACAGAAATGCAGGGCCCGGGCTGAGCCTTTCCCCTGGGGATTAACCCAGGGGTGGTCAAATCCCAGCCTCCTGAAGCCCGGAGTTGCTTCTTACATCCCTTCTTCCTGGTCTGCATCACACAGCTTCCCTTGAAG